CTACATTTTTGACGGTGGTTCTTGGGCAACATAGGTTGTATGAATTGGGATTGGAAACCGTGTGAAGACTGGCATGTGGCCGCTCATTTTAGGGAGACTTTCCCCTTCTACTCAGTGACAAGGCTCCAGCCAGTATTTGTCCTTACTGCCCCTGGGGAGAGGGGCAGAGAGTCAGCTTACTTCTAGGGGATGCCTTTAGAGGATAGCCTTTGATGTCCAGGGTTTACGGAGGGGTTTTCCACTAAGTCACGCTTGGATGGGTCCCGGTCCTTGCCGCCTCTTTTCCAAACCCTGCAAGACCTTGAACACCAAGGCTCAAGTTCATGGCAAATATGCTCAATGTAAAAACTGTCTCTGCTTTTGTTCTTGGCTGCCTGTCTTTACTTAGTTTTTAATCAGAATTCTTTACATTTTGCCAGCTTGTGAATGTAGTTAATTTTTATTTGTTTCTTTATTTTCATTTTATCCACTGTATTTAGTTGTTTTAAATGGAAACTAGTCAAACTGGATGTCTGATCCATCATTGTTTCTTCAAATCCACAAGACCAATAAGAAGATAATACAATAAAGGGGACATGATAGCTGCTGCTGTGGGAAGTTTCAGAAACCCACCAGAATGGCCAATGGATGGGGCTAAGGCAGAGCGAAGGTCCCTCTTCACAGTAACAGCCATTGCTAGGGAAGCCAGCAGCACCAAAGGAAGGTTCTGGGGAGATTACTGATGAATCTGTCAATAGGTTATGCTTTCTGATTGACATGTGTTTCTAACACCTGCAAGACCTGTCTCTGAATAAGTGGGGTTTATTATTTTACTCAGCAATCATTTAGTAAGTATCCACACCACTCCCAACTCCAGACACTTAGTGACACAGGATACATTTTCTGAATTAGCAGAGCTCTGAAAATAAAACCTGCCAAGTGTGCAGCCTTGATTAGTTGATCGCCCATGTCATGGATTCCAAGCTTTTAAAAAATGCAGTGAAATTTGACAGAGTCTTAAATAATTACTCAGTCCATAAGAAGGACTAAATCTGTAATAAGATTACATCAATCTTTCGATTTTCATTTTCCAAGATACGGGGGATTTTTCACCGTCCCCACAACGGAGAGATCACACTGAGCCCATTTACTCTCTGCTTTAGCCACAAGTAACAGACAAACTTCCTCCAACAAGTGGATGTCACAGTATTGTTTTTAGCAATGTTGATCAAACAGATTTGCCTGGACTCAACGTGTTTTTTTGTCCAAATTATCGTAAGAAGCGGAACTCCTGGTATTGATGGTGAGCTCAGGAGACATTAGAAATTCCCTGGATGCTGTTGTGGGTTTCTCAGCTGGATCTTAAATCCAGTTATAGAGTGTGTCAGGCTGTAGTGATTTCCGGGTTCTACCTGGTCTGTAGGAACTGGCATCTTTTTGTTCATCTATCCCCATATGTGACATTTCCTCATGCCATCTATCTTGAGATTTTCTTTTCAAAAGTAATAACAATGCTTCAACTTTTAGGGACCTCACAAATGCTTCTGCCAAGTGCCAAGAGATTTGAATTTATGGATTAAGGTTTATATGTTTTGCTTCTTTCCTCCTTCTCTCCTTTCCAACCTCTCCCTTCTTCTTTCCTCTATTCTTTCTTGTCCTTTTTTTCCTGTTGCTGTTAGAAAGCTAATGACCCTTTTGGGCATCCCTGGAGCTTTTAACTTCTTTCTCCTACTGAATTTTTATCTTATAGCCTCTCCTCATTAAATGGTTTACTATTTTGCATATAAGAAAAATATTTCTATCTAATTTTCTTTTTTAATTCAGTAAGACTGTGGCCATTGCGTTTACAAGATAACTATTTTGGCTAATTTGATGAACGATTTTAGACAGTCTTTAAAAAATTATTATTTGTGGAGCTCAGTTGGCCAGTTGCTTTATATCGGGTAAATGTGACCATAGAAAGTGTAGGGAGAGAACTATCTGTTAATTTCATTAGTCTACCTGAACTGTTGTTCTCTATTAATTTTTACTTGGTTTGATTTAAATAGATTTTTTGTTTTGTTTCATGGTGACGACTCTATTTGGTTTTCTCCCCTTCCTGTCTCTCCTTACCACACTGTTCAGACTCTAGGTCTATGCTGTCTAATTAATTAAATTTAAATTAATTAAATTTGAAGTTCATTTCATGGGTCACACTAGCCACATCTCAAGTGCCCCATAACAACAGTAGGCTCATGGTTCCCATACTGGATGGCGCACATTATCAATGCAGAAAGTTCTACTGCAGGGCCCAGTTCTACATTCCACCCCAGTTCTCCCTTTCACTACAGAAGGCAAAGTTTCAGTGCCAAAAAGGAGTAAACCTTTCCTGTGTACCCGCTGGATATTTTCTTCTCAGATCCAAGGCATAACGTACCGTCCTGTTTCAGTCTTTGTCCGAGACAGCTTCATGGAAACCCCTTAAAGGGGGCAACACAGACATTACCCCACATACTCTATTTCAGTGTAAAAAAAGCAAGAAGAGAGATTATGATGCAGAAGGTCTAGAGAAGAGCTTCCACTTACAAGTCAGACCCCTGGTGGTTACAAATCACATCAGTGTTGGAAGAGCAGAGGATCAATTCAATAGTCACAGTTCTAAGCCTTTCTTATAAGGAGCTTTCTGGAAGGTGCTGGGTGGAGGGCCCATTCCGTACGTCTGGCAGCTTATATCCTGTATGATTTGCACTTTTCATCTAACAGATCGTGGTGGAATTTAAAACTTAAGTATGGGAGCTGTATTAGTTTCCTAGGGCTGCCACAACATATCGCCACAAATTAGGTGGCTTCCAACAATAGAAACTTATTCTCCCACAGTTCTGTGGGACAGAAGTCCAAAATCAAGGTGTTGGTAGGGCTTCCTCCGAAGTCACCGGGAGCAGATCTTCCCTTGCCTCTTCCAGCTTCTGGAAATGTTACCACCAGCATCAAAATTGAAAAATTAGAGTTTGGATTTTTGGAGGGCATGCTTGACACCCCGACTGATGAGACTTTGAGAGCAGGGCTTCCGTGGACACATGGGATTGACAGTCACAGACTGTGTGGTACGAGAGCAGGAGATGAGAAGCCAACCTGCTTGGTGAGGAGTAAAAAGCCTGTGTTTCAGACTGATCACCTTCGTGCTCTGGCTCTATGACCTCTTACTAGGTGTTAAATGGGGAAATAGTATTTACTTAGTTAAAAAATGCAGGCAATTTGGTTATGGGTCAAAATTGTATGAAAATCTTGAATAAGGAGGAAAAAAAATCCTCTTATAGGCCAAAGAGGATTCACTTTTGGTAAAGACATTCTCCAGAAAAAGACAATAAATAGATTATGCTTGTCAGCCTGATTATGAAAAGAAACATAAGTCATTAAGAACAGTCCCTAGACTCTTGACTGATTAGTCTTCTGTGGTGTGGGTGATGATTCCCCTAAGTCATAATTTCATTAAAGCTCATTAGAAAATGGCTTAAACATTTGATCAGTAAAATCCTAATTTCTTTCCAGAACGAGGCTATAAATTACATCAGGCAGACCGAGTTCAGGACAATCTTTTTCTATCATAACTTCATAGAGTTGTTGTGAAGATAAGCAAGATATTACAGGGAAGATGTCTTCGTCCAGCGCCTGGTCCATAGAAAGAGTCTGATTAATGTTCGTTGTTCTGTTGTTTTAGAAGGACCGACCTTCCCTTCACTTCATACCTCTCCCAACTTTGAATGAGCTCTGGTTGGTCTGGTCAGGGGCCCTGCTGAAGAATCAGATGCTGATTCATCTGATTACTTGTTGGTTGCTACAGAAAGAGACCCTAGGGTCTCCTTAATACAATTGTTGACACTTTTGGACATTTAAAGGTAAATCTAAAACTTTACTTTGAAGGGATAGGAAATTTAATGGAATAATGGAATAAGAATTTGATGGTTGAAGACTGCTAGTTAGAAAATGGAAAAGGAGGTGTTGGAAGAAGCAAGAGAGGCAAGGAGATGGCAGTAAGCTCAGATCTAAGGCTTTATGTGAGAAACATCGTATTCTGGGAAGTTGCCTCTTAATTCTTAGTACAATGATGTCCAATATTGCATTTAAAATCTTTGCCAGTCCTACGGTTTTCTTGGGGAGCAATCCCTTTCTGTTACAAGACTTAAAATCTGCCTCACTTATTCCAAATTATGGCTACCTGAGGCTGTGGATTGTAGCCTCCTGAGCTAGTTAACTTGTCTGTGTTTGGCCCTGGAGAGCTCACCGTGTAGTACGACAAACACTTTCTACTGGAAGCACTAAGGAACATGCTTGAAGACGTCTCCATTTGGGGACTGGGTGTTGTGGGCTCCTGGGACCTACCCCCTTTGGTGCTGGTCTTTTTTTTTGTTTTTTTAGCACTTTTTTTTTGGCTGCGTTGGGCCTTTGTTGCTGTGCACCGGCTTCCTCTGGTTGCGGCAAGCAGGCTTCTCATTGCGGTGGCTTCTCTTGTTGTGAAGCACGGGCTCTAGGCACGTGGGCTTCAGTAGTTGTGGCACACGAGCTCTAGAGCACAGGTTCAGTAGTTGTGGTGCATGGGCTTAGCTGCTCCGCGGCACGTGGGATCTTCCCAGACCAGGGCTCGAACCCGTGTCCCCTGCACTGGCAGGCGGATTCTTAACCACTGTGCCACCAGGGAAGCCCCTTGGTGCTGGTCTTGAATGAACCACAGTTTTCTGAGATCCAATGTGGGAAAACTATGTCTCTTTGTTTTTTAATAAGAGGATTCTTTTTAAAATAAAATCAAGGAGTGAAGCATTGATCAAATAATATTGTGAAAGTCTCTAATCTTTCCATCATCCTCAATTTCATTTCCTAGTGGAAACTGATGGGTTTCCCTTCAAATATTTCTATGCCTCTATAAACGTATTTCTTTTATACATAACTGATGTATATTTTATATACAAATAAAATTATTTGCAAACTCTTTCACAATGGCTTTTTTTTTTTTTTTTGCTTTATCTCATTGACACAAATGCAGCATATTATCAGCATACAATCTTGAAATTTATTTTCCTTTGTTTTACTGGTCAATACAAAAAGCATGTAGTTTTGGGCTGACATTTCTTGATTGAATCTAGGAGTGAAAACCAAACTAAGATTGGGAGACAAGCAAACTGAATACAATGGAAATAAAAGCATGAACTGAATGTTGCAAGGTCCTAGGGAGCGGGTGAGGCTAGGGTGGGTCAAGGCTTGAAGGATAAGTTAGCATTCCTTAAATAGCAAAGAATTGGGGAGGAAAAGGAATCAGTGGGAACAAAGGCTTGGAAGCACGTTGATGTGGCTCAGAATTTAGAGGTGAAAATTATGAAGGTTCTACAACCTGCAGCATTCTGACTGAGATTCACAGTGTTCACCCTTGGGTAGGCATTAACATTTACTAGGTGACCTAATGACATCCTCATGGAATGGAAGGTTTGCTTAACGTTTGGCGTAGCAGTGTTAAGTTTTCTGTTTGTTCCTAAACTCTGTCTTCAGTACGTATTATGGTGAAGGGAGCACAGGCAGAAAATGGACTCAGGGAAGGTTTCATTGCAGGTATTTTTAATCTCTGCTGGTAACTCTGGATCAAATCTGTTAAGAAAAGCCCCAAAGGGTGGTGTATAGGAGATTGTACATTGAAGTTAGTTACAATACCCTTCTTTAATTCCAAAACAAGTATTGGGCTTTCACTGACCTAAACCACTTTTCTCTGGAATTTTGCCCTAGGCTGAAAGCCAAGGGGAAATTCTCTACCAGGCCATCTCCTTAAGAACTGGGTCTTCTCTTTAAAACCTGCGCTCACCTGTCCCACTGCTAAATAAATGACTTCGTGCTCTCTTGTATTCACAGTTAATTTTTATTCATTTTAATGTTATTTTGTTTGGGGTTATACTTTTCCTACAGTGGGATATTTAGGGGGGCCTATTATAAAGTAAATTTGAATTTCATGAAATTACTGATTGTTGACCATTTTGTTACCTACACAAAAGGCAGTTTCAATATAAATCTTGAACTATGTTGTTTCTTGTTAGTAAAGTTGGGGTTCATCAATATTTTGTTTCTTACTAATTTTCTCACTTTTAACTTCACGGTGAGTCAAAATGAATTTTTATAAGCCTCAAAACATCTCCCAATTCAGTGCCTTTTCTCCTTTTGACTGTTATCGTACAAGTTCAGGCCCCCTTATCTTTTACCTTGACAGTATGAAGTGTGTTTCTACTTGGCTTCCAGTCTCCTGGCCGGTTTTTCTCAGTGTTATCTCCTAAAGCACAATCCTTGATGACCTAGCAATTTAAGACGAGGCATGGGAGGCTCCCACAAGATAATCCAGCCTCCTCTTCTCCCCTCTGTCCCTCCTCCTTTGCCCGCGTCTTATATCTTGAGTTCGCTCTGAATTCATTTTTGGTTACTCCCATTTTTCCACTGAGCTTGCTTTTCCACAGCTGCTTCTGTAGCAATCTTTTCATCCCCCAGGCTACAAGCTCTCTGAAGGTGGGGAGAATCCTCCCAAGGCTCCGACACAACTGCAGCGTCCAGCGTGCACCACGGGTGGCTGTTGAGGTTTTGGACAGCACGAGCCTGGGGTGGCTGTGCTTAGAGACTAGGTTGTCAGGGTCTTCCGAGCCGCGTCGTAGTGACACAGCCGTGGTTAGCGCGGTGGCTTATGTAGAGCAGATTCTCCAGAGGTACTCACAGAATTCAGTTGAGTCTCAGTTTAGATCTGGCCATGAAAAGTGCTTCCGAAGCACTGAAATCTCCCACCTTCTAACCTGGAGTCCCACTCTGATCTTACATAGAAACAGACAAGCCTGGGAAGGAAAGAGATGCTGACCACAACATCTCCACCTGGTCCAGCAGAAGATCCCGGATCTGCAGCCAAGTCTGTTGACAGAGTCTCCAAGATGGGAGGATGTCTCTCCACCTCCCTCCCCACCCCCCCAGGCTTAGGCTCCCCAAAACAAAGGGCTTCCCTGACACCACCCTCTGTACTGGTTATCTGTCCTGCAGACATTTTGCACCATTTTCTGCCTCACAGGGCTGCCCCTAACGACATTGTGAAGCCAAGAATTTCAGCATATGTTTCCCTGGCGTATTCTGATGGCTGACAGGCCAGATATAAATTAGTTGATTATATATATATTGGGATCTTAGTTCCCCAGTCAGGGATTGAACCCGTGCCTCCTGCATTGGGTATGTGGAGTCTTAACCACTGGACCACCAGGGAAGTCCCGAGCTGATTATATTTTTTGACTGGGCTTTTCCTCCCCTCAAAATAAAGAAGAAATCCTGTAAAATGGTCCATCCCCCAGAGTGTTCTAACTGGACATTTTTCTCTGTGACCAGCCACTTCTAGTTTATCTTTATCGAATCTCTATTTCCTTTTGCCGGGGTGCTTTACATATAACCAGGAAGCAAACTGTTACTGACTTGGAGAGTTGGATGGGGCTCGCGTCCCATGGCCAGCCCCACAGGGAGCCCTTGGAGCTGTTTTCAGGAGCAAACCATGAGTCTGAGCCTAGGAGAAATGAAAACATAATGGGGTCTGGTCGGCTTTCGGAGATGCTTCTTACACGGGAAGAGGAGTCCTGAACAAGGCAACGGCTGAGATTTACCGAGCAAATAAGAAAACCGGCTGCCGGGGATCCAAGCACGCGGCACAAAGGAGAATGTCTCGAGCTGCTGTGAGGTGTCACATTGGCAGAAACGTCCATGATGAGCTGCCCAACGATTTGCTAAAGAGGGAAACGCAGGGAGGAAAAAAAATAAAAAACAATCGATTTAGGAATGTACACTAAGTATAAAGTTTCCTGTGGGAAAAATAAGCAAATATTTAAAACATCAGAAAGCAAATGCCATGGGGAATTTCCACTCTTCTTAAATACAGTATGTCTTGGCACAAGTTCAAGAAGAGGACTGCAGTTATTACTGCTCCCAAGCAGGGCAAATGTAGCCCGAACGGTCAACACAGGCACCAGGTCACATCCCAACTGTTCAGTGGGTGGACTGAAGGGGTGACTTTCTTGATCTACGTCTTTAAAAATCTTGAGAACAGTTTGAGGTAACTGGTATTCAAATTTGGAGTCAAGATGAGCAGAAATGAGGGCTGGCACGAAGCTAGGGATTAAAAGATTTTTTCCTGCCTGGAGTGTGGGAAAGGGCAGCAACTTGTAGGAGAACAGCGGGGCCCATGATGTTACTTGGAGGGCTCCGGAGGCCGCTCTGTGCGACCAGCTGACCTGAGGAAACTTGATTGCAGAGGCTGCAGGAAATCCTGACCTTACTGGTGTTAACTTCTGGACTGCGTCCCAGGCCTGGGAAACCCATGCTCCTGCCCTCACACTGTGGAGACATGTTGGCTCCAAGGCTGACAGAGGAGGTGGACAAGAGGCCCGTGCAGCTGCAGGGAAGGGACGTAGGAACCAAACCTTCAACCAGTACCCTAGAGACTGTAAGAACCAGTTCTCCTCCATCCTGCTGAAAAGTGCCCCCAGGAACACCCTGGCGGTTTCTGCAGCCCTTCTCCAATCCCACTTCCACCCCCATTCGGCACATCACCTGGGGTTTTTGGATGGGAGAGTAGGTCAGAGCATCTTCCCACCCTCTGAGAGATGCAAGTTTGGGTTTTGTTTCAGCTGACACCGACAGCTGCGCTCATAGCCCAGGGCCGGCCAGCTGGTGGTTAGATGTTTATGGTGTGTCCCTGCCTCTGCACAGTGCTCCTCAAAATGGTTTTGTGAACAATCCAGTGTAATTGGCAAAATCCAGTACATTTTCAAGAAGATCATTTCTTACGATTTTCAGCATCTTCAGAGTCTGCATCAGACTCACAGCCTGTCCCCGGGTCCTGCTTCCTTGCAGAACTGAGCACTGCTGGGTGGGCCTTGGCAGGCACACAGGAGTATTTTCATTGTGGTCATCTGAGCATTCTGATCGGAACTTCTGAAGCACTGGGTCCTTCTGTCTGGCACTGGAAGAAGCCTAATAGAGCGGAGGGAGTGTGAAAGGATAGTTTCCTGGCTCACATGGGTTTCTGGACCTGATAAGAAAATGTCTACGTCATTGCGGCTGGTCTATCTCCAAATGGCCAACATCAGTCAACTTCTGTGTTCTGTTTCCTGATTTTCTGGGTGAACCAAGGTATTACTTTCACTTGGCCCAGTGTGTTATATCAAAGGTGCACATAAAGAAGTTCATGGCCTGGATAAATTGCCCCTGTAACAGCGCTAACAATTTCAAACCCTAGCAAAGCTGAGTCTTCAATAAATGACTTTTTCCCCTTTCCTCCCTGAAGTGGGGATCAGACAGCCAACTACTTTTCCTAGTGCAATGATCTTGCTTCTTATAACGTTGAATGTTAAGAAAGGAATTTACCCACCACATGAGGCAAAGGTGTATCGAATTTCAGATTATCAGTAGATATTTCAAACACATCAAAAGATAGTCTACTTGAAGTTTTCCCATCCGCAGCCTAGCACTCTCTGTCACCTTTCCTTGTTTCGTTCTTCTCCATAGAACTTATCACCGTTTGACATACTGTTTGTTTTATTGTTGTAAACAAACATTTTTGCCTCTCTCCTTCTCTCTTACACACACACATGAAAGAATGAATGAATGAATGCCTTAGAAGACAGTGTTTCCTCTGAAATGAAGCTTTTGACCTTTCCCAGCCCACACACTTGGAAGCTAGATCAATTGACTTGCAGTGAGGTCTCACCCTTTTTACAGCAAGATCCGAGAAAGACCCAGCAAATAGCTCAGGGGCACAGTCCAGCCTGAAGGTTACAACCGTTGAGAGACTTTTGGTCAGCTCTGGGGTCAGTCTTCTTCATATACAGGAAACATGCCTGGAGAACAGAGACTGGATGAGAAATGAATTCACTCTGTACACAATTGCCAAGTGCCCCTTTCCTCCTCTTCCTCACACAGTTCAAATCAGACTTTTCAAATGAAGCGAGGGAGACAGATAAAGAAAAAAATCCCAAACAAAGCCAGTTATGGACAAATACTATAAAATTCCACAGTAAGTAAATGTTCCCTGTCTCTTTAAGGGGAAGTTTCTTTGGAGAATGATGGTGTTGGGTCTAACTTCCTCCCTAAATGCGTATATACTCTGCACACATTTGTTGGACCCCATTCTGTCCGAAGTCCTGTGCTATGAACAGGATGCAGCTAAGAACTGGATATGAAAAACAGATGTATTCGCTGCCTTTTCCCAGTTTGAGTCCAGTGGTAAATATTAACAGGCAGTCACCTCAAGCCCGCTGGTGATGTTATCATACGTCACATTCTACTCTTAAAACTGACTCTAACTCAGGGCTCGCAAACGTTATTGTCAAGTGTCAAATAGTAAATCAATATTTTAAGATTTGTGGACCATACAGTCTCTGTCACAACCACTCAGCTCTGCTGTCGAGCACAGAAACTGACAATGCGTTAACGAATGACCATGGCAGTGTCCCAATAAAACTTTATTTATAAAAACGGACACAAGCTGGATGTGGCCCTTAGGGTATTGTTTGCTGGATCCTGCTCTCATTGCTTTGTTGCATTATAGTCAGATTCTAGAGATGTGATTCAAATAAAACTATGGTCTTGGTCTCAAATTTCCATAGAGTTTGTATACAGAGATTTATAAAAATACGGGTTGGTCAAAGAGTACAGACTTTCAGTTTTAAGATGAGTAAGTTCTGGGGATCTAATGTACAGCATGGTGATTCTAGTTAATAATACTGTAGTATATACTTGAAAGTTGCTGAGAGAGTAGATTTTAAATGTCCTCACCATAGAAAAGAAATGGCAGGTATGTGATGTGATGAAGGTGTTAGCTAATGCTAAAGTGGTAATCATTTTGCAATATATAAATGTATCAAATCAACACGTTGTATATCTTAAACTTACACAATGTTATATGTCAATTATATCTCAACAAAGCTGGAAAAAATTAAATTAAAAATTTTCTTTTAGTTTTCAGAGTTTATAATTGTCGTCTGTGGAAAGTTTAGTCTAATAAAAGCTACTGAAACATTTTTAAAAAGAAAAGAAAATATGAGTTTGTACTTGCTGTTCATCTACAGCTTTTCAGCGAGCACTTCTGTCGGGATAAAGGATACAGGTTATACCACAGCTTTGCCTCTGTGATGATAACTGTCAAATCTGTCTGGTTATCCCTGGGTCCCAATGGAGATGACTTTGTTCTGTTTCCAGATGTTTCCTACATATCATTTAGAGTAATAAACAGGGACCAGAACAAAACGACCCTCTGACCCCTAGCCACAGGCCGAGATGCCACGGCTATTTTATGACTCTCAGCTTGTTATTATGGCAGAGAGAGAACAAGGCCATTTTGTCATGGCTGTTGTTCTGCCATGCCTATCTCCTGTGCTGGGTCTCTTCCTCACCTTCTGTCACTGGGGTGGGCTCTGCCTCAGCTTCAGTCTATTAAGCATCTAGTTGAGCCCCGTACCAGATGTTTGCTGTTTCCCTCTCCAGATCCACCCTCCCTCTTCTCCATTCCCTGTTCTCTGCCCTACAAGGCTGCCTTGTATGGACTTTATCAAAGGACTCTCCATCCCCCTTGCTTCCTTTTGGGTCCAGCCAAGGAGGATTCCTGGCGAGAGATCTGAAGGAGGGAAGAGACTGAAGATGGAGTATCTGCTCCCCCGATTCTCTTCCTGTAAGCTCACCTCAGGCTGGCCGCATCCCTTAATTGAAAGCCTGTGTTCCTCTCAAAGCAAACAACCGCTTAGAACCTTCTAGATGCTGTAGCCACTCCCTCTCCTTGTTCCCTGGGTCTAGGGCAGGGCCCGGCTCCACTGTTGCTGCTCTATCAGGTTCCTGCACTATCCCTGTATCCCTGTGCTTCCCCACGTCCCACCTTCACCTTTGTACCACAGTCACTTTACAATAAGCCCTTCCTGGACTGTCCTAATTTGCTGGTGCCGTCTGTTCCTGTGGGGACCCTGACTGACGCAACAGATTGGGGCTCTTGGCTGCACCATTACTGTACCCTCTGGCAGGGAGCAGAAAGGCTGTGGAGGGACTTCTAGAAGCTTCTTAGAAAACCTCCCTCCAATAAGCATCTGTGGATAAAAAATGTTGCTTGCCATATCAGCAAACAAAGGATGCTGTGGCCATCAAGCCATCAGCCACTGTGCTGCCCCCGATGGTGAGCCTGAGTGTAGGGCGCGGTCAGCTAACTGCCATGCAGCAGGAAGCTGAAGTAAGCTGAATCATCCTTCCTGTGGCCACTGCGCTTGCGCTAAGTATACTAATGAGGTTTTAAAGTAGCGACCTATCCGATGCTGGCTCACAAGTCGCACCATCGGCGAAAGCCAATCACAGAGCGACACATGTTCTTAATCCCTATATAAGCAGACTGCTATAGGATTGCGGTGTCTTCCTTCCATCTTTTCTTTAACCAAGCTGTGCTCCAATAAAGTGTGATACGAGAAGAATCTTGCGTGTGGCGACTCGTCATTCTGCTGGTCGGAGGCGGCTTGCCGCATTTGGTGCCGAAACCCGGGAACTTCGCGCCCTGCATGGAGGACCGATTCAGAGCTCGACACACGGAGTGAACCGTCGGTGAGTAGTCCAGTCAGGATCAAGATCCGATCTGGGTGCCATCAAGACTGACGAGAATTGTTGAAGAAAACTTCAGAGAAGATGCTGAGCTGGATGTTCCTGATGATTCTTCCCTTGCTTAGGGCAGAGAATATGACGTTCTGGGGAATTAGCCGGACCTGGCCAGTTCCCATGCCGGTTCACTCTCAGAGCAGAGTTCTTCCAATATTTTATTCCACTAGTTGTGAAATGAATACGGCCTGTACCCAGCCATTGAATTATGACTGGGCACCGTATAATGCCAGTGATTTTATTTTGAATCGAAGTCTTTGTATTAGTTGGAATTCCACAAAGGATTGTATCCTTTTGGCCAGGATAACCTTGACCACTTGGAACAATCCACTTAGAAATAATTTGGTTCCATTGAATATGTTGAATGAAGCTTTGAGCAAGATAACTCAAGGCCACACTTCAGGTTCAGGTATAGGGAATTCCAGTGAAAATGAGATGAATATTACCACTTTAGTTTTGGAACATACAGGGATAGTTCCTTTAAGAAATAATGCTTCTGATAAAAACAAGTGCCAACAGGACTGTTGTCGCCCCCTATTGTGAGCCAGTCACATCAACACCCCCAGTCTTTACCCCTTGTCAGGGGGGAACTTATGCTAAGTATGAACTTAGTTCAGGCTTTCAATTTTCCCCTGATTTAAAGTCCTATATGGGAAGAAAGGAAAAAGGAAATGATACTAATGAGACAAAAGGAAATGATAGTACAAAGTGGTATTTTGAAGGATGGCCATTTTATTCTTGGTTATTAGTTAATGAGGCAGGAGTAGGCATGGATATTTCTGCTTTGGCCACTTTACAGATGCCCTGAATAGGAGTGCAGAGATTGGAGAATTCCTAAAGGGAAACTGGTCTCAAGAAGCTGAACGGATGATATTTAAGCAAAAGATTCAGATTATGCAACTGAATGCTACCAAGCTGGAACCCGTTACCTTTGGAGATTTTACCTCTTGGCTCTCTTCTGCGTTTTCCTTCTTTGAAGAGTGGGTAGGGGTGGGGATCTTTGGGCTCTGCTGTATATTTGGGATTATAATATGTCTCTGGTTGGTCTGTCGCATGCGCGTCAGGGCACATCGAGATAAGGTCCTACTCACTCAAGCACTTTTGGCTGTTAGTGAAGGTGATTCTCCCGCAGCCTGGATCTCCGTCCTAAACAATTCGAATGGATTGCCCTTGCACGGAGAGGCCCTGTTGCCATTGCACCTCTATAGGGAATCAAAACTTATTCTGAGTCAGCCTTTGCACCCTGCAGCCCTTGTTGGCATTGCACGCAGGAAGGTGTCTCAGACATGCCAACGGAAGGCTGCCCTCGAACAGTGAGCACATCATGAGGTGAACACTTGTACGGGCTACATTCTGCTTGGTGATTCTAGTAAATAAAAAAGGGGGAGATGTAGGGCGCGGTCAGCTAACTGCCACGCAGCAGGAAGCTGAAGTAAGCTGAATCATCCTTCCTGTGGCCACTGCGCTTGCGCTAAGTATACTAATGAGGTTTTAAAGTAGCGACCTATCCGATGCTGGCTCACAAGTCGCACCATCGGCGAAAGCCAATCACAGAGCGACACATGTTCTTAATCCCTATATAAGCAGACTGCTATAGGATTGCGGTGTCTTCCTTCCATCTTTTTTTTAACCAAGCTGTGCTCCAATAAAGTGTGATACGAGAAGAATCTTGCGTGTGGCGACTCGTCATTCTGCTGGTCGGAGGCGGCTCGCCGCACCTGAGGGAACTCAGGATGGGGAAGGACAGGGTACTGACCCTAGATAGCAAAGGTGCATATCAAAGGAATGATTTCCATGAGCCCAGACTCATGCATCTCCCCATACATAGATAAGCGCTAAATTCATGCACTTGAGATGTCTGGTTTTCTTTAATTAACAGTAATCTTTTGATGCTCCAACTACCTGGTCTTTGTTGCAAAACTCCTATATATCCTGGTTCCTCCCTTACCTCTTCGGATGAGTCCCTCAGAGCTGTCTGAGAGGCTGTGTCCTGGGCTTGGGGTCCTCAGAAAGTCTGCCCAATATTGGGCTGGCCAAAAATTTCATTCGGGTTCTTCCATAACAACTTACGGAAAAACCCAAATGAACTTTTCGGCCAATCCAATAAACCATAATTCTCAGGAATGCTGTGGCGGTCCAGTGGTTAGGACGCTATGCTTTCACTGCTGGGGCCTGGGTTCAGTCCCTGGTTGAGGAACTAAGATTCTGCAAGCCATGGCCAAAAAGAAACCAAAAACATAATTCTTAAATTTGAGGTTGTATATTTTTCTTTCAGTCGACACATCCCTAATTATTCAATCATCCGAACATTGGGTCCTCTTGAATGCAGTTTTTTCCAGCAAGAGAAGTCAAGCACAAGCCTCAGCTGAGATGTCATGGAGATCTGTAGGGTTGCCTCATGGTTAGCCAGTCTACAGGGCTGTGAACGTGACCATGTATCAAACAGCCCCAGGAGTTTCTGCTCATGAGGCCGAGTTCATGAGCCTCAGCAACTCGATGACCCTGAATCTTAGAGCCAAACCGTTCTCAAGCAGCTTTGTAGACCCCAGTCAGTGAAGGCAGATCCTAGAACAGTTTCTGAAAACAGCTTACAGAGTTCAGTTTACTGGGAAGAACTTAGCACCAAGTACCCTTTAAAGAGGTAGTCTGTGTGATGATTAAGGTGATTAAGGATAGACTCTAGACTTAGCTCTGTATGATGTGACCTTCAGAACACACCAGTGATGTGACCGTAAGTAACATGGCTTAAGCATTGTGGGTCTCTGTTTCCTCATCTCTAACATAGGAGCTGCTGTGAGAATTCCATTGGCTAATATTTGTAAAATGTTTAGAACATTTTACATAGTAAAGTATGATAGGCATTAGCTGTTATGGCTATTGAAGGAGACATTCTCCTTGCTATCTTTTGTGTTGGAATCCGCTTGGTTACGCTTGGAAGACCCCTCACTCCAGAGGCACCTTTTAAAAAAAAAATAAAAGGACCCCATTGTAAGGCACAATGACCTGCTGTGCTTTGCAGAGATTTTTGTATTGGGCCATAATATCCTAGTTTAATTCAACTCTCAGTCAGCGGGAGTAGAATGTGCCCATCTTCACTGTGTGTCTCGCATCACGCTAGCTATGAGAGACTGTAGCTCTGAACAAGAAAAACCCAGTCCCCACCTTCATAAAAGTGCTACAGAAATCTATAGCTCAGGCTGGGAGTCAGATGTCCTCACAACTACATTTAATTTAAAATCAAGCCACTTGAGAAAATTTAGCTGTAAGCTTGGCCTTCTCTCAGCTCCCTGAGCACAAGGCAGCGAGCTACAGTCAAGCTGTGAGTTACTCAGGCTTTTTCCATCAAGACCATTAAGTTCTTTCTGTAGATCCCTTGACACGAGAGTAAATAGAAAATCACATGTCCTTACACCGGGGGGGGAAATGGTGGGGTGGTGGGGTGGTGGTGGTGGTGGGATGAATTGGGGGACTGGGATTGACATGTATACACTAATATGTATAAAATAGATAACTAATAAGAACCTGCTGTATAAAAAAACAAATAAAATTAAAAAAAAAATCACGTCCTTAGCACCTCTGTTCCGGAAGAGTCTTCTGGCAGCACAAATGGAGTTTCAATATACAGTGCTTGAAATCAGGAGAAAAGGGCTTCTGACTGCTTTTTCTACAATGAACCTGTACTGTTTTTGTAATGAGAACTAAAGATGTTTTAATTTTTAAAAAGTTTACCGTTGCAATAGAGAGTATTCTTGTGGAGCATATCATAAATCAGACACACAACTTAACACTAATCATGTTCGAATAGTGTCTAAAACAAGTAAGAAAATTCTCAAGTGTTTATGCTTCTTTTTCAACTTTGAGAATTGGGAGCCCCAGGATGAAGGGGTAGACTGTTGAAGGCCATATAGGTAGGTCCATATAAGAAGTAAGAATATCTCTAAGAAAGTGAAAGGATGTCAGCAAAAATAATTAGTTTATAAATCAAGTCGTAAGACATGCAGAAAATACAGTTAAAATTGCATGACAACATTGCTCACTTGCTTGGTGTGGGAACACCTTGTAGAAAGTTGAAGTCAACACTTGTAATCTAACTAACCTTGATCCATTTCGCTTCCACCCTTGTTTTCTTGTAGAAGTGAAATTTCCTGCTTCTACCAAAGGGACTGATAGTGGGTCATGCTTGGCTTACCTGGAACTCTGGGACTACTCTTTTCCCTCTTATCCAAGGTCTGGAGAGCAGAGACTGTATTCTACTTAATCTTTATATCCAAAGGGCCTAACTCAGTATCTTTACATAGTCAATGCCAAATAAACATTTGATGCATAAATAGGTGGATGGATGAATGGATGGATGGATGGATGGATGGATGGATGGACGGATGGGGGTGATATAATTTGGGGATAAGTAAAAGAGTTAAGGTTACTAAGAGAATGCTTCCTCTATTATTTGAAATAGAGAGTATAGGAAAAGGAAGAAGTTTGCTGTACGATTTTTGGCTCTGTGAAACATCTGTGGGTCTTAGGCAGTTGTAAACTTCTGGCTTCAGTATCCTCACGGATAAAACTGAGGGTTTGGAAGAGCTGATCTCTAGGTTACCTTCAAGTCTTAAGGTAACTAAGTATGATACTAAGTATAATGCTTAAGGATAAAGAAAAGTAGAATTTACCAAGGCTTAACAATGCCTTAAAAATGTGAGAATGCTCTGTCATCAGCAAGAGGGCAACTGGGTGATGGGTTTTTCTAAAATGTTTCATTTTCTGATACATTCTTCCACTCTTTAAAGTGATACGTACCATTTCTGTTTAAAAGTAAAGTGAATTCAGATTGATTGATTTTTAGCAGATAATTCTTGAGATACGTGTCCAGCATGTTGCAAAAATTAGGCTGGCAGTTATTCTTTTAATGTTTGGAGCTGAATTCTAAGAGAGGTTGGAAACGGCTTCTGAGAAATCATTCAGCTAGGGCAGGGCACAACGGTGGCTTGATTAATTAGCAACTACCTCTTTGACTGAATTGAACTTGGATCTGCTTACCTGATGCTCAGCAAAGCCAATCTGTTGACATCCAGTTGTGGTGAAGGAAAGTGTAGAATTTATTGCAGGGTGCCAAGCAAGGAGAATGGGCAGCTTCATGCTCAAAAGACATGACCGCTTTCAGGGAAGGGGTTTTAAGGGCAAGATTAGGGGTGTGGGTTGCAGGGTACCTGATCAGCTTGTGTGCAATTCTTTGATTGGCTGATGGTGAGGTAACAGGGTGATGTGCTGGGAATCTCAATCATCCACCTTCTGGGTCCAACCTGTCTGGGGTCTACATGCCAGTGGTCTGCATGCAGTTAACTTCTTCCACCTGGTGTGGGCTTTAGTATCTGCAAAATAATGCAAGGATATGGCTCAGGATATTATCTATAGCCCTTGAGGAGGAACTAAAAGTCCTTGACCTTGTTTTATAGCTAAACTATTATTATTTTGTCTTGCTTGACTGCTTTCCTTTTTTTCTACATTTTCTCACTTCTCTGATTAAACTTGCTCTTTGGAACTCAGGGAAGACCTAGGTGGCTACAGTTTATTTCCATAGCCTCTTTTCCCAATCAACAATAAGCGGGGGACATCAAGGCATCTGTCATTGGGAAAGCTCCGCAGAGTCCTGCTCAGTTTCACTCTAATAAACAAGGTCTCTCAAATCTCGTTCGACACTTGGATTTTTTGGTTTTATGGTCTCCACCTTCTACCACTGAGCCAATGTTTTCATTGTCCAGGCCCACTATTTTGCAAACTCTACAGCTCTTTCTGACAGAACCAAATGCTATCTCTTTTCTTCTCCCAGTATGATTAACTCACACAACCTTGGACAAAAACATACATCCACATGCCAGCAGTCAATGTTTTAGCTTCTCTTCTATCAACATTGTCCCTCTGTCCAGGGTCAAAAAAGTCAGAAAGATGAGTGCCAAACAGAAATGTGCTTTTCTTTTTAAAAATTTTTTAATTTTAATTAAAAGAAAATTTTAATTTTCTAAAAAATAAATTTTATTTATTTATTTTTGGCTGTGTTGGGTCTTCGTTGTTGCACACAGGCTTTCTCTAGTTGCAGCAAGTGGGTGCTATTCTTCCCTGTGGTGCGCAGGCTTCTCATTGCAGTGACTTCTCTTGTTTCAGAGCACAGGCTCTAGGCACGTGGGCTTCAGTGGTTGTAGCACGCAGGCTCAGTAGTTGTGGCTCACGGGCTCTAGAGCGCAGCCTCAGTAGTTGTGGCACATGGGCTTAGTTGCTCCACAGCACGTGGGATCTTCCTGGACCAGGGCTTGAACCTGTGTTCCCTGTGTTGGCAGGTGGGTTCTTAACTATTGTGCCACCAGGGAAACCCCAAAATGTGCTTTTCATATTGAATCTCCTGCTTAAAATTAATTTCTTTATAGACTTTTGAATATTTTATTTATATTAATTATTTTCTATTTTTTCCTCTTGAGTTCTCTCTCTAGCTGCTTTTTATTTTTTTCAAATACTTTAAAGACAATGGGGTTGGATTTAAAATATGTTCTGCTATGTTCCATTTATTTGTCTAGGCCCTGGTAATTTCTGACTTTCAAAAGGTCAATGTGTACATTTACAATACTAATAACCAAAATAGAAATGTCACAGTATTTAATTTTTATTCACTTTCCAAGACAACTCTCTAAACGTAGCCATTTTTAATATCTAAGTCCTCTATGTATATCCACACAAAATCTGCCCCAATTTGCTCCTGGTCCAATACAAGAGACTCCCAATGTACTGTAATTTTCCATAGCTATAATTAAAACACCTGTTGTCACAGACTCCTATTCAAAAAGTGCGTAAAAAGTAGACAGAAAGCCGTAAAGTGAAAATAATCAGGCTTTTATTTACTGTATGTATAAATGATGTTTAAATGGACAACCTGAGGCACTGTAAGATCTTGAGCTAAGGTTTGAATCTACAGAGATTCAGATACATCTATGATTCCCAGTCTATGATTATGTTCAGAGCAGTTTCAGATGAAGTATATTTTATTAAAATGTTGTAGTTATTAGGGAATGTGTAAGCTGTCTTTGGTACTTATTGTAATATCAGTGAATCAGAATATTCAAATTACAAGAAAATTCAATTTATTAGAGAACAAACATATGGACACCAAGGGGGGAAAGTGGTGGGGGGAGGGTGGTGGTGGTGTGATGAATTGGGAGATTGGGATTGACATTATACACTAATATGTATAAAATGGATAACTAATAACCTGCTGTATAAAAAAATAAATAAAATAAAATTCAAAAAAACACAAAAAAACACAAAACAATTTCTAACTCTCCTTGATATAAAGGAGAAAAGGGGAGGGGGAGGAGCAGGGTAGGGTGGGGCTGTCCCCGCAAGAAACCAAACTAGCAAATCTAGCTTCAAACACACCCTCTGGTCTGTTATTCCAGTTTTAGCCATTTGTTTCTGCTAACTCTGTCCTAAACTTAGTTTTTTCTGTGCTGCTATAAGAGTATGCTCTTATCTTCTAAATACAACACATTTTAAAATTGCACATTGTTTTCTATTTTTTATTTAAAATCTTGTCCCCTAACTTTAGTTCTCTGGGGCAGAGCCTGGATTTTTAATCCTAGCCACAGGTGTGTCAGGAATTATCTCAAAACAACTCTTAAAATTGTCCCCACTGTTTAGTTTCGATTACTGAAGTTGGTAGAGGTGAAATAATTTGGACAAAGTCAAGACCTACAGATAGCAAGTGAGCAAATTAGAATTTTTACCAAGATTTGCCATGTCCCAAGGGCCATGTTCATTTCCTTAGTAGTACAGAATATAGGTACTCTGTAATTTTCATTATATATAGAATCTCCATTAACAAGAATCCAAATACCTGTGATCCTCATTTTTTAAATTGAATTTCTTTTTTAAGAGAAAGAGAAAAATTACAAGAAGGGTAACTCCATTAATAGCAATTAAAATATAAGCATATATATATATATATACAATTCCAGGGAGTATTCTGTACTTCTCCTAAAACATACGAGGTGTCTAGGGACTTCCCTGGTGGTCCAGTGGGTAAGACTCCATGCTCCCAATGCAGGGGACCTGGGTTCGATCCCTGGTTGGGGAACTAGATCCCGCATGCATGCTGCAACTAAGGGTCTGCATGCTGCAACTAAGAAGTCTGCATGCTGCAACTAAAAAAAAAATCTCACATGCCGCAGCGAAGATCCCACGTGCTGCAGCTAAGACCTGATGCAGCCAAAATAAAAAAAGTATATTAAAAAAACAAAACAAAAAAACATATGAGGTCTAATATTCTACTCTTTAATATTATAAATATTATAGAATGATTAATGTTTTCAGAGATAACTCGAAGGCTTTTAAATAACTCAAATCAATGCCAAAATATTAATTGCTAATTAAACAATACTAACACAGGGAAGTAGACTTACACATTTTATTCCATTTAAAGAAAGTTCAAATCTTATACTTTAATTTCTTGATTTACAGCAGCTTAACTGTTCTCTTAGATATGCTTTTTTGGGGATTGACATATACACATTGCTATATTTAAAATAGATAACAAGGACCTACTGTATATGGAATGCTGCTGGTCTGTAATAACCTAAGTGGGAAAAGAACTTGAAAATGAATAGATACATGTGTATGTGTAACTGAATCACTTTGCTGTACACCTGAAACTAACACAACATTGTAAATCAACTATACTCCAATATAAAATAAAAATTGTTTAAAAGTGACACGTATTTCTAAGTGCTTATTGTAGAATTAGAAAACACAGAAAAACATAAAGAAATTCAACATATGCATTCTTTATTCTGCTGTGAGCATTTTACCATGTCATTTGTAATCTTTACTTGCATAAATATACATAACCTAAAATATTCTCCTGAGTATATCCTATATTACTTTATAGTTTCTCTGTTGAATATTTGAATTGTTATTTATGATGAGGTAATTAATATATTTGTGTTAGATTCCTAGAAATACAATTATTGGGTCAAAGGGTAGAAACATGTTTGAAGCTCTTGAGAAGTATTGTTAGATTACTCTACAGTAACTTCACACCATTTTTCACTCCAGGATCCACCTATCACACCACTACCGGCAGTGGGTACTACTGTAGCCCGTAAAGATTCATAATATGGCTTCATTCTAATTATTTGCTTTATCAGGTTTGAAAAATGACCCTCTTTTGATTCACGGAACACATTTCCCTAAAGGTTCTGTTGTCTATATAATAACAGTAAAAATGTAGCAGGTATTGTGCTAAGAGATAAAATTATCTCTTAATTCTAATCACACTTCATATAATAATATATATTTATATTAAATATAAATTATATATAAATATAGACTATATAATGTAATATATAATATATAATGACTATCTATTTATACATAAATACATTATATATATAACTATAATGATTTTCTAGATGAAGAAATTGTCTTAGAAAAGTTTAGCCCCTTGGGACTTCCCTGGCCGTCTAGGGGTTAAGACTCTGCGCTTCCACTGCAGGGGGCGTGGGTTCGATCCCTGGTTGGGGAACTAAGATCCCACATGCCAAGTGGGCAGCCAGGAGGAAAAGAAAAGAAAAGAAAAGAAAAGTTTAGCCCTTGCCTAAGATAACCCGGCTAGAAGTAGTTGGTACAGCTTCAATCAGGTCTGACTCTGAAGTGTATATAAAATTTTCTTTATTTATTTTTCATCACACACTTTAAGATCAGGCACCCAAGATCCAGCCCACCAACATTTCTCTACATTATTAAAATGTTCTGATCGCTTCCTTTCCATTTATTTTTCAGATGAACTATATACAATCATTTTATCAGTTCCCTCATAATTGGCAGTTTGATGTTGCATTAAGGGTATACAGTAAATTCAAGAAAAATAGCATCTTAAGAATACTGGATCTACCAGCAGCATCGTGTCCTTAGGTGTCTTATTTAATTTTGTGGTTCCCTCCAATGTAGCTTCTTCACCTCTCTTGTTAAGGTGTTTTTATTTGCTTTTTTTTCCCCAAAATGAACAGGAGCTTTTCTTTGCTATATTTTAATTGAGTGTAGTTAGCATTGATTTGTGTACATTTATTTGTGTTCCTTTTTAGTTATAATAGTTTTCTATTTGATTTTCTAAGGTTTTCCAAATAAACAATTGTGTATCTGCAATATTTTCCTCTCTTAATTTCTTAATTTCTATTTCTTATCTCTATCTTTTCCTTGTTTCAATGAATTAGGCAAAACTTCTAGAACAGTGCTAAATATTGATGACATGATAATTATAAGGAACATCACTTTTGTCCTTTACGATACTGAAATTATTTCTAGTATTTTGCCTTTAAGTTAATGTAGATGTGTGTGTAAGGGTGTGTGTGTATGTTTTAAACGATAGTAAAATATAGGAATAATGCAGTTAGTAGAAATCCTACCTTGACTTTGGCATTTTGTCAATTTTTAGTTTTCAGTATTTTCATGGGCTGTTTAATGGGGACTTGGAAACAGGTACATGGACTCCAAAACTTGCTGCTACTTTAACTCTGAAATTAAACACGTACTTTTTAGGAGGATTTTCAACAAATGATGCAATATATTAATGCCTAATTAACTTATTTTTTAAAATAAATTTATTTATTTATATTTTTGGCTGCGTTGGGTCTTCATTGCTGAGCGTGGGCTTTCTCTAATTGCGGCAAGCGGGGGCTACTCTTCGTTGTGGTACTCAGGCTTCTCATTGTGGTGGCTTCTCTTGTTGCAGAGCACAGGCTCTAGGCACGTGGGCTTCAGTAGTTGTGGTACACAGGCTCAGTAGTTGTGGCTTGCGGGCTCTAGAGTGCAGGCTCAGTAGTTGTGGCACATGGGCTTAGTTGCTCTGCAGCATGTGGAATCTTCCCGGACCACCAGGGCTTGAACCCGCGTCCTCTGTATTGGCAAGTGGATTCTTAACAACTGCGCCGCTACGGAAGCCCCCCTAATTAACTTTAAAATTCGATTCATTTCCTTAAGCATCTCAGTCTTCTGAGGTAAGATTATAATCAGCTTTTCCTAATAAGATTTATCTCACATGCCATTATTTTCCATTACACATGTTCTTTTCACCTCCCACTAGAATGTATAGTTTTCCAGACCAGGACTAGAGAAAGTCAAACTTGGAGCCAATAAGGAAAAATCCCTTGAGATGAAAGTCTACCATCCATCCCACTTCAGTGCCCTAGAACCCAGTGATTTCTGCTGAGGACCAAAAGCACTTGGTTCTGGCTGTTCTTATATCCTGAACTCAGAATCAGGTAGGAAGAACTAGCTTTCAGAAGTACAGGACCATCTGGCGTACACTGTGGATAATAACTTCACCCCCCCTTTTTTTCCTAATTTTTCTACTTTGTATTCTGTTTTCCCTTATTTCCTAGTCAATTTTGTGGTACAATTTTCCAAGGTATAGAAAGGAGAGAAAAATACTTTTAATGACAGTTCAGTTCTCAGTATGAGTGTTTCTGGCTTTGCAAATTTTTGTTGGCCGGTTTAATCACATAACTGCCTTCTCTCTGCCATTTGGTACACACTTGAATCACGTAAGCTCACGGAATGCAGCATCAATGTGAATGTTAGCTTAATTCAAACATAATAAGCAATCAGAATTTTCAGAAAAGCACCTCATGCAATGAATTCCCAAAGTAAGTGAAAATGACTTTAGTATTTACTGTATTGCTATTACTAACACTGCTTTTATCTGTGCTATTTTTTTCTTTTTTTGGCAGGTACACTGTACCTATTTAAAAAAAAAAAATTAACCAAAATTTGGTTTGGAAGAAAACTTTCCCCTTCATAACACAATACACGAATCAGTCAGAATTGTTGCTACATTGCTCTCTTTTTATTGTTCTTGTTGTAATGTGACCATGGAAACATGGACAGTAGCTAATAAACCCTTGATGATACTCAGGCTGCTTTTGATTTTACTGTCCTCCTGAATCTATCCTTAATGTTGGGTTAATTGCAGCACGTAATTTACCAGATGGTAACAGTAGGTTTGTGCCATATAATTTTTTTATTCAGAGCCGTAACGGTGTCCTGTATATAAAAGATGCTTCGTGTTTGCTGAATGAATGACAGTGAGAATAAAGGAATGAACGAATGGTGAATAAAACCAATCAGGCTAAAGCTTAAACATGAGCCCTGGCAAGGCTGTTGAATGGAAAGGAATTCCACTGTGGGCAACTGAGAATCCTTGTTAGAAAACACCTGTTCAAAAGAGAACTCAATTTTCCCTTAATAGTGAAGGTGCCAGGACACAACTGTAGGCTTCTGGAATTCCTGGGAACAGACATTCTTTAAACTGAATCCCTGATGAGGGTCTCTGATGAGATGGCCTAAAGGATTCCAGGCACCTAAATTTTATCCCATGTGCCAAATGTTTTTCCTCAGTCTCTAAAGATTATAGGAGAGGAGGTTGAAAAAAACCTGTTACAAGGGAAGGGAAACCAAGAACTCAACCTCCAAGCGCCATCTCTTATGTGCAGGACTGGCTATATAATTTGAGAGGAGTCCAGTGCCTAAATGTGAAGTCCCTCGGTCAAAGTTATTAAAATTATTAATTTCAAGATTGTGAGAACAGAGCATTAAGCCATACATGGGGTCCTCCTTAAGTGCAAGGCCGTTTATGACGACACAGTTTGCACACCCATAAACTAGCTTTGCATATGTTTTAAGTCTCTTGTTGTTTCTGAGCAAAGAAAATTGAATAGATCTGATGCAAGCAATTTTTATTCTAATGTAGTGCTGTTGAATAGAAATGTCTGTGATGATTGAAATGGTCTATATCTATGCTAATACACAGCCACTAACTACCTAAGGCTACGAGCACTTAAAATGTGGCTAGTGGGACTTGAAATACTAGCAATACCACTGAAGAATTATATTTCCATTTTATTGACTATTTAATTGTATCTAACATAAATTTAAATAGCTACATGTGAATGTGGCTAGTGGCTGCCATTTTGGACATACAAGTTTAATGAATCAACCAACCTACAGACAATAAAGAAAATAGTTCCATATAGAATTTATAGCAATGTTTGCAGCAATGAAATTTGTAACAATGAAAAGCAAACAATGTCTTTTAAGTTAACTGCTCTGAGCAACTGACAACAGATAAGTTTGCCTTTTATCCTAATGGAAAGTTGCAGAATATCTTCTAAACTCATAAATAGAACGAGAAATTTCTTTAAGATACAGAACTGTGAAATTTGGAGGAGATCCCTGCCTCTCAAATTTCCTAAGCATAGAGAGTTTCCATGGCAACAAAAGATCCATCCAAATGTAATTAAAAGTGAATGACTAGGGTATCTGTATCATTCAGTTCTAGTACATGTTACCTTTAATTATATTTTTCTAAGCTACTGATGTGCTAATATTTCAGACGATATTTGTTCAGGACTGAGGTTGACAAAGCTTTGTAGGAAGAAAAAAAGAAGACGCAGTCATCCTGCAGGAACTCTGCAGATAGAATAAAACAAAAAGAAAAGATGTGTTCCTTTGCTCCTCTTTGGAATTCCTTCAAGTAAGAATGAGAGGGCCAGCCATTATTTTAGGGTTTTCCACTTCTTACTATCATATTTCTCCCTCTCGGACTCCCGCCAGGACTTACCCTTGAAAAGACTCTCCCTTGAGTCCCAAGAAGCATCTGTCCTTGCTCCCCAGCTGGTTCCAGTATCCCAGCCAATCCTGCCCCTGGCCCTGGGGCTTCTTTCCTGTCCTTCCCACCTGGCCCCAAGCCATGGCCATAGGTGGCTCTGGGAGGTCCTAGAGGTCACAATCACTATTGTCCTGCTTTCAAGTAAACGCTGAGAAATCAGTTATGTATGATTGAGGGGGAAAAAAAGTTTGTAATTAAAAAAAATTATACAATGAATACGAGAGGTATGAGTGAATGAGAAGAGCTTCTTGTATCTTTGTTTTGTTTTAGTTACAAAGCACAGCTCCCTGATTGGGGAATGAAAACACCGGAAATTGCTGAAGTGAGATAATTTATTGCTAGAAAAAAACAACAAGAGCCACCACCAGACCAAAATCATTCTCCAAAGGAAATAATGTGAATGCTTTAAATAGCAACTGTGCTTAGGATGTGGAGAAAATCCAGCCACACAGGGCATGGAAGGTATGGTGACAAATGAGGCCAAAGGGAAGAATGAAGGAAGGAAGGAAGCATGTGATGAAGCTCTGAGCTGGTGTAAAGGGGACAACTGACGTCTATCCTAAATCCTCCACTCAGGTTTCACAGGTAAACTCCAAGATTACTTACATGCTCTCGTTTGGCCACAGGGCAATAGTACCCTGGGTTTTCTTTAGTTTGTACTGTTCAGCCATAAAGGTGGGGGAAAAAAACCCCCAAATCCCCAGAAGTCCAGCTCTTTGGGCAACAAGTATTAAGAGTATCACTTATGTTAATGGAAAAGCCTTAGCTAATTCACTGATTCTCAGCAGGAAAGGAGTGGAGTGCAGTCCCCAGTGGAAGGAGGTTCCTGAATTTCCAGATCAGGGGAAAGACTGGCTTTTTCTACAGAGCCCCAAACATCGATTTTGATGGACTCCCTTAGGGGTGGGACCTCATTTTCCTTCTTTGGAGGCGTTCCATATGCGATACAATATTGTCTGTGGAACCACATTGCACATGGGAAAGACGAGGAGGCTTTCCTACATGCAAAGAGTGGAAAAAATGTTTCCACTCTTAAAAATGTCTCTTTGGTTTCCTTAAATCTAGAAAACCCCCCTCTCCCCATTTCTGTCTTTTGAGACAAACCTTTTTGCAGCATCCAAAGTTATTTTTGTGGAATGCCTGTGATGTGGATTTGTCTGATTTCTTCCCCATGATTAGAGGCAGGGGAGATGTTTTTGGCAAGGATACCGCACAGGTGAAGCACATGGGGTGCTTCTCATGTGTCACAGCAGAGACCCATTATGGACTTGAGTCTCATTGTGGGTGCTACTAAGTTTGATCACCTGGTTCAGTTGGTGTCAGCCAGATCTTTCCACTGAAAAGCTACAGCTGTCACTTAGCAATTAAGAAGTAATTTGTGGGGGCCTCCCTGGTGGCGCAGTGGTTGGGGGTCCGCCTGCCGGTGCAGGGGACGCGGGTTCGCGCCCCGGTCCGGGAAGATCCCACATGTCCGTGAGCTGTGGCAGCTGAGCCTGCGCGTCCGGAGCCTGTGCTCTGCGGCGGGAGAGGCCGCGGCAGTGAGGGACCCGCGTACTGCAAAAAAAAAAAAAAAAAAAAAGAAGTAATTTGTGGAATGCTGTATTGAGACCATGAAAATGTTTCATTTCCCCATAACCTTTTTACCCAATGGTCTTAGCATTTATTGACGATCTTTGCCTGAATCTACTTTTACACGGGGGATTGCAAAATGATGATTTCCCGATTCTATGTCTTTCTACATTCATTAACTAGTATCCTTCTATTAAAAATGCCTAGTCCCTTCCCCCCTGATTTTTAGAGGTATTTTTTAAAAATATCACTATGGACTCCTGGATTCAGATTTTTTTGACTTCTTTTTTGTTGGACATCATACCTTTTGTCCTGAGAGATATTTACTAAACCAGTCACCTATGGAACACCATTCCTGTGAAATGCTCTGGGGATAAAGCATTCTGTGGTCGAATAATTTGGGGATAGAAAGTATCCGCCATGTCTCTCTCTTTTTTTTTTTTTAACATCTTTATTGGGGTATAATTGCTTTACAATGGTCTCCATGTCTCTTGAAGTTATCTAATGGATATTAGGATATTGAAAACCACAGGAGTTCTGCAGTAAAGAACCTGCTTAACTTTAACCAGGAGTTTCTCAAACTTATTTGATCACGGAATCCGTTTTTATTTTTTCAACACAGACCTAGTGCTTGGTGACGTACATTTAGGGAAACACTGGCCAAGAGCCTCACTTGTCAATTAAATGTTTCAGTAATAATGTGAAACAAAGACTAACTAATAACAGTAGCTGTATTTCGCTTGGCTCAACCATTCCTGTATGCTTAAAGTAACTATTCTATGTTAAGGTCAAATCAGCATACCATTGAGGGCCTGGTGGTCAAGAACAACCCTGAAGTAAGGAAAGATTCCTTTAAAAGAATACAAAAGAAATTAATCATAAAAGAGAAAATTGGTACATTGACTTCATTAAAATTAAAGCCTTCTGTTTATCGAAAGACTCCAAAGAGTGAAAAGGCCAACTTTGTACTGGGATAGTATATTTACAAATATACATCCAGAAAATATAAAGCACTAATATTTATATACAAGAGAAAGACAAACAACCCATTTAAACAATGGGCAAAAGACATGAACAGGTACATCACAGAAGAGGATAACCAATGGCCAATAAGCATATGAATGTTATTGACCTTAGAGAAATGCAAAGTAAAATCCACAATGGCATACCACTACACACCCACCAGAATGACTAAAATGAAAAACACTGACAGCACTAGGTATGCATGTGGGTGTGTGGAGTAGGTAGACGCTGTGAGGCGCTGCCTAGATCTCCTTTCAATGAGATGATTCCTGCCCCGGATGCTTAAGAGTGCTGACAGCCTCCATCTCCAATCCTGCGATTGCCTCAACTGCCTCTCATTCAAAGTCACTGTGACTGATGGAGGGCACAAAGGGCTAGCCCACTTGCCCAACTCAGGATAATTCTGAGGGGCCATTTCTAACACCCCCGACCCCAGGTTGTTACTGGCCCTGCACTGCAGCTCGATTTCACTCTCCCTTTGTCCAATCTTACTTCCCACCGCTCCTTCCACAGGAGTTGATCCCAAGGGCACCCTGTAATAAACATCCTGCACACTAAGCTCTGTTGCAGAGTCTGCTGACCAAGTAGCCCGTTCCGCGACCTGTGCAACTTGCTTGTCCTGGTGTGAACTGGTACAACCACTTGAGAAAACTGTCTGCTGTGACCTCGCAATCCTACTTCTAGATATTTACCTGGGAGAAATGAGCCTTGTGTCTGTCCACCACAAAAAGCCATCGACGGGAATGTCCATAGCAGCTTTTTTTCATAATAGATTCGAAGTGGGAACCATGCAAATGTCCATCAACTGTAGATTGTATAAATAATTGAAGTATGTTCATACACAGGAATGCTGTATAGTGATAAGAAAGAACAAGCTACTGTTATACGTAACAGCATGGCTGACTCTCACAGGCATAATGTTGAGACACAAAAGAGCGCACACCGTATGATTTAATTTATATGAAGCTCAGGAACTGACAAAACTAACCCATGGCGACCGATGTGAGAACGGTGGTTCCTTGTGGGGTTCCTTGTGGGGTGTGGGTATTGAGAAGGAGTATGAAGCAGCCTCTGGAGCGACAGAAAAGGTCTATATCTTGATGTGGTTGGCGGCTACATATGTAAAAGTTCCCTGAGGTATAAAACACTTAGTTTTGGGCATTTTACTGTATGTGTGTTATAGGTCAGTTAAAAAAAAAAAAGCCACCTCAAACTGTAATAAATTCCTTATTAATCCAATGTAGGTTAACTGGTTTGTAGACTAAATCTGGTTAAGGTGTTACAGTCACCTGTGATATTGTCACTTTCTAGGGAAGGTTGGCTGCAGTGGGTTTAGTAATAAGGTCGTCCTGATTAGTGCATTGACTCTTCTGCAGCAGGAAGAAGCAAGCTTTGGGGCTTGGTGATCTGATGGGGGAGGAGAGGAATGCTCCAGGTTTCATGCTCCTGATTTAATCAAGACAGCTCCTCCCACTGAGATATCTACCACCAGATCTTATCAGCTGTCTCTCAATCACTGAGGCTCTCTGGGAGAAAATCTCTCTAGGGAGGAAAATAATCTCTTTTCATGGGCTGTTAGGATAGTCTGCAAACCAAACCAGTTAACCTGCAGCCAGGTAAATCCAGTATTTGAGAAAAAATCAACCATCACTGGGCATTTAAACTGCTTTGTTATTGAACCAATTTTACAAAGAAGAAAAAAGGAATCAGATATTGGCTATTTTAAATTAATTTCATTAATATGTCTTCATTAGCCTTGACCAAGAGAAGTTAAATAGGTAACTTAAAGGACTTCCCTGGTGGTGCAGTGGTTAACAGTCCGCCTGCCAATGCAGGGGACACAGGTTCGAGCCCTGGTCCAGGAAGATCCCACATGCATGACACAACTAAGAGTTCGTGTGCCGCAACTAAGGAGCCCATGAGCCGCAACTAGGGAGCCTGCTGGCTGCAACTAAGGAGCACACATACCGCAACTAAGGAGGCAGCAAGCTCCAACAAAGGAGAATGCTGGCTGCAACTAAGGAGCACATGTGCCACAACTAAGGAGCCAGCGAGCCACAACAAAGGGGCGCATGAGCCACAACTAAGGAGCCCACCTGCCGCAACTAAGACCCAGTGCCACCAAATAAATAAATTAATTAAAAAAAAAAAAAGAAAGAAAGGTCCTGTGGACTCTGGTGGAGGAGGGGCTGTCCTCCCACCTGTATTTGTCCTCACTTCCGTCTCCATTCCGCTCCCAGGACGAGGCCCGCTGCTGGAGGATGGGCGGATGAAGCTCACTTTGTCCACGACAGCCGGCTTCCCAGATGGCCCCCTGCAGGGGAAAGGCCAGGGTCTCCCTGCCCTTCTTTCTTCTCCCTTGTGAAATGAGATGAGACTGGAGGCAGCTCCCCCAGGAGGGTCCTCTGCCTGTGAGCCTTCTCCCATTCTGCTATCAGGACTGGGGAGATGGCCTAGGGGAGCACCTTGCCAGACTCCAGATCAAACTTGCTGCTTCTCTTTTGGTTCTTCACACCAGCTGAGGTGCTCTGGCCTTTGTGTTGCAGAGGCGAGAGTCAGGATCTGGATTCAGGCTCCGAGACAGAAGTAGACAGAGGTCTTTGGATTGCTTCCCATTCTAGGCTCCTCTGGCAGCCTGAGTCTGGGGGGGTCCAGTTGGTACACTAGTGTGTTGCACTGCAGCTTTAAAATGAAAGCTCCAGGAGGTGATTGCCATTCTCTCACTCTGGTATTTTAGGGTGTGTGTGTGTGTGTGTGTGTGTGTGTGTGTGTGTGTGTGTGTGAGAGAGAGAGAGAGAGAGAGACCGTGTGAGGGTGGGTACACACGAGCTTATACCTCCCACAGGGATGATGGATTCAGGGATTCCTGGATGTTTGGGCCAATGCTTTCTTAATGGTACCCCAACTCATCATTTTCTGATAGGGACCCAAGTCAAGGAGACTGTGCATCACAGTGCAATGGGGTGGGTACTGTGATGTGGGGAGCAGGGTCCAGGCTGCTGTGAGTCAGCCTAGGAATAGACATATACACTGGCCAGCAGAGGCTTTAAGGAGAAAACTGTCACTAGACTTTTTTCTTTGGTTTTATTTTTCTGCCTTCTTCTTAACTCTCTCAAAAAGGTAAGCTTTGAGAGCCAAGGTTAACTATGGGTCTAAGCAAAATACACAGAGACCACAGTGCCTCCTCTGTCTCTCAAGACTAGACTTGCCAGCTTCACAACTGATCCAGGCCCCTCACCTGCACGGAGTCCCCACAGCAGGCTTTGTAAGGCAAATATCTAATAGCGTTTTCCAAATTTTGCTCCATATATTATATGAAGAAAGTATCCTGCAGTCAGGTTAGATTTAGAAACACCAGCAGAATTTTTCTGAGCCTTTTCCAAGAACTGAGATCTATTATGCAGAGTTTTCCAAACTTACTTGATTCTAGAATCATTTCCTACAAAATATCTCATGGTATAAGACTGCCTCAGAACTCTTGGGTAAGAAGTACCTGAAGAAATAAGTGATGCCCATTGTGCCATAACATCTCGTTGGCAGATCTCCCCCTGGAACCTGGACTCAGAGTCTAGGCTATGACTTTCTCAGTTTCTCACCACACAGACGTGACGAAGGACTAAATAAATGAAGCCTCTGGTTGCTTTCACACTTTTTTATTTCCTAACTCAGATTTTGTGACTATCTTCACAGAAACGCTATTGCCTTTTCACTAATAGTACAGCGTTTCTTGGTGTTAGTAGTTTCCCACTGAACAATGATTTCTTTCAATCGCTCTAAGTATATGTGAATTACTCATTTTGTTGAAGCGTCTTAGAAAATAACTTTCTAATCCTGACGTTTTTAATCATAAATGTCACTAAAACCTAAAAATGTCTAATATTTAACTGTAGCCATAGACCTAGCATTGACTCTTCTGTGTAATGTCTGATCTGTACATCCCTCTGCCCCCCTTTGTTTTGCAATGGCCCTCAATTAGCTCAGTGCCCCCACTTCCCACCCTCCAGGGGCATGGCTCTTGCAGACCCTGTAGTTAGCCTGAACGCTTCCTTGGGAAGTAGACACTTGCTCTAATAGCAGAGTCCCAGAGCGCTGCTGTACTGCCATCCATCCCCACCCACCACAAAGACTCCTCAAATGCCCAGGATGAAACAGCTAAGGTCTGTTGCACTGGCTTTAGAAACAAAGAATGGCGCCAACTGCGGTCAGTATGGGCTGTGTGCCCAGGACTTTGACTCCTCTTGGCTTACTGAGCATGGGCATGTAAGAGTAGGAAAGGTACAGATTACTTAATTCTTGCCAGTAGGCTAATTCTTATCTGCCTTGAGGTAAATGGAAAGGCAAGGAGAGGACTATTGCTAGAGGCTGAATGTTCATGTCCTCTCAAAGTTCATTATGTTGAAACCTAATCCTCAACGTGATGGAATTAGGTGGGGAGGCCTTTGGGAGGTGATTAGGTCATAAGGGTGGGCTGCTCATGAACAGGGTTAGTGCCCTGATGAACGAGACCTCAGAGGGCTGCCTTCTCCCTTCTGCCACGTGAGTACACAGGGAGAAGTCAGCCGTCTGCAACCCGAAAGAGGGCCTGCTCCAGACACCAAATCTGCCAGAGCCTTGGTCTTGGACTCTGAGGTCTCCAGAAGTGTGAGAAATAGTTGTTTGTTGTATGAACCACCCAGTCGATGGTATTTTGTCATAGCAGCTTGAAGGAAGCAAGACAATTGTCTTTTTTATCAGGGATTATGTGTATGTGCCTATCTGTGTGGCTGCACCATGCCAGATGTGAGTAATCCTCAAGGAGTAACAGGTGAATGAGCCTGGAACGAGTGGATACCATATATAAAAAGACATAACAGTGGGGAAAAGGTGATTTAAAGTTAGAAGAGTCTGCATCTCAACTCTGCCACTTTTATTAGTTGAGTGACCATGGGTGATTCATTTTTAGTACTTAGAGCCAGTTTTCTTATAAGCAACATAGAATTATTTATCTTTCTCACTACGTGTGTATGTGTACCTGTATATGCAGAGAAATATGTTTAGAATGGTTTACATCAAATGTTAACATGGTTGTTTAGGGAATTTGGGAATTGGGTGGCTTTTCCCTTTATATTTTGTGTTTTTCACTAATATTTGATCTTTTTTAAGGTAAAAGTGTAAAGCATACCCCAAATACTGTCAATGTAAAATTGTAGTCATATGATAAAATGAAATCTTTCATATTTTTAAGTTTTTGAAATGGGAGAGTCTTATAAAAATTCCCATAAATCCAACCAAGTATCATTCCTTCAGTTTCTTTTTTCCTAACTTGTGTCTATAAATAGGTCTTCATATTTAATCTTTCCAGCAGACAGTCTGCTACCTTTTTCTCCATTAATCTTGGAAGAATCTTTAGAAGGTAATATGAAGACTACTGTTTTAAGAAAATATTGAAAGAAATAACAAACCACCTTACCTGGAAGAGCAGCAGATCTTTTAAAGCCTAATACTTCAAAGGGGAAAAGCAAAAACAAAAAGCAGGGGAAAAAAGTTAATATGGAAAAATGTAAAACCAGTTTAAATTATCTGTTTAACAAATGAAGTGACACTATGTTTCATTCCTAGTTACATGGAAACATAGATATTTTGAATTAAAAAACAAATAAGAGGTTAGCAGCTTTTTTAGGGAGTTTGTGACAATTTTCTCTGCTTCACGGGTCCCAGAGGTCAGATGGGGTCCCAACTGGTGGCAGTTTATTCCTTCAGCTTTTTATATTTTTATTCATGAACCTCTAACAATCAATAAATGGTACAACTTGTGAGAATTTCAAAATACTATTTTCCAGCCGCAAAGAAATTCTCCCAACTGAAATTAGAATTTGATAGGCTTAAATACTTTACAGATGCTTCAAATGAGATTATGAAGCCAACCAGTAGATATTTATTTATTTTACTAAAATATAGGCATGTTTTCCTTTAAATATTTGAGATTCTGTCTACAGTGCCTCTGTTATATTCATTCAAATTATTCTTATATTTCAAAACAATGAGGCTTCTAAACTGGTGGAATGTTGCCAGGAAATTTCAACAGAGTTTGAAGGCAACATGACCAAAAGGCACAGTTTAAATTGGCTTAGGGGATGAATGGGCTCCTTATCAGAGCAGCTGAAGGCTGTATATAATTAACAGCATCTGTCAACATTAAAAGGGCTGTATATAGAACAAGCAGGCCCTACAGCCCCACTGAACAGCAACCTCCAGCTTCTGGTACCTTAAAATCCACAAGACCTAAACAAAAAGACAGCCCCAAGCCATGACTAGAAGGACACGGATACATTTTAGTGATACTAGCAGGGCTACAAAGCAACAGCTAATTAATGTTAATTATCTAGAGCAATTCTGTGAACAAGAGCATTGAGATTTCAAATTAGCCAGCTATCATCAAAAATATAAAATACCATTTATGAAGATAACTTTATATTTGAAATTACTGATTTAAAAATCTTTCTCATGTCATTTTAATTTTTAAATGGTGTGAAAATGATCTACTAACCTCCCTTTTTACATGATGAATTTAATTCAATTTAATTCAGCTTGACTATTTCTGTAAGAAGAGTATTAAATTCACTCTAGGGCAATTTTTAGGTTTTTTTTGAAAAAATACATTAAATACGTTTCACCCATGAACAGGTACAAAACAACTAGAACCAAAAGAGACCCAAACCCAGAGGAAATTTCATTAAATAAATTTATTTGTTAAAATAATTTAACTCCAAATACAACTGTTGAATTTGCATTGAGTTATAACTACAATTCATGTTTTAATTGAAATGTCAAGGTTTAACAACTGACATTGTTACAAAACAATAAACTGTTGTTCAATTTTAAATGGTCAGTTGTATTAGAGCTCAACAATTAACTGTGAACTATATTTATCTCTGGGAAATCCCAAATCAATAAGGATAAGTCTGTTTCCAAAACCCACTGCAGTCATTCTTGAAACCCTGATCAAGATTTAAGAGATGCACAATGACACGTTAAAAAAAAAAAAAAAAAAAAAGACCCCCATAGTCTTTAACATTTGATTGGCTAAGGAGACAATTAAAGCTTACCCAAGTGCTAACACAAGACTACTGAGAAGAACAAAAAACTACAAAACAAACAAAAAACCGATGGCAACAAGCAAAATAAGCACTTTCATATTCATACATATAGACAATACCCCCAGTGGGCAACTTCTGAAAACAAACAGCAGACACCCTTAGGCAACATTTCTTTATACAGAAGAGCAAATATCAGTAGTTTTACCACAGAAAAGTGATGGCAACTGTAGCGATCAGAGTCAAAATTTCAGTCCTAATTCTACAAACCAAAGGAGAAAATCATCAAAGCACCTTTCAATAGTTTAAGGAAGATTTTATGTAATACTTTTGATCAGATGCTGGCTTGTTTTGTATAAGTTGAACAAAATGAAAGGCATCAGTTACCATCACTATCACAGCTTAAAAGAACCCAAAAAAAAAAGTTGCAATATAGAACGAAAAAAACTTAAAAAATGCTGCCTTTGTATAAAAGTAAAACGAGATGAAACAGAAAAAAAAGAAAACCTTATCATAGTAGCTAAAGAAAAAGTGGGTCTTTGGATCAAACCATAACATTTTTAAGGCATGTTAGAAAAACTTTCACTTATCTAGTTGCTAGTCTGATCAGGGCATAAAATAAATAGTGACCCAAGGTCACCAACTTTTAGCCACTATTATTTCATGTGCCAACAAATTTCATCTTCCTGTTCTTAAGCTTTGTATTAACGTCTCAACAAACACATTCATTCAAGCTGAGTTATATCCATACCAGATGAAATACCAACAGTAAGAGCACACAAGCAGTTTCCACATTTCTGCGTATCTTTGATGCTTTGTCACTAAATATTCAGGGCTGCGTGGAAACACTGATCAGGCAGCCAAATCAGTTATTAACATCTTTACAGTAAAAAACCAGCTTATTGTCTGACAAACACGTCTAACTAAAACCCAAATTTTTAGATAACCTTTTCCACCTTATATCTTGCCATACCTTTCATATTATTTAACTTTTCTTGTCTGCATAGCAATCCACAATGTAAAACTGTAGAATCTTTATAGATGTTTTTAATATGTAATCTGTTGCCATAAATTGCTACCAAATATGGAATTCTAAAAAACAGAATCATTCTTAGAAGTTACAGGATTCAAAAGTCAAACAGTGCACTAACAAGTATTTCTAATTCAGTTGATAAAATCATACTTCTTGAATCTTTGATTTCTCCACGTGATCGAGTCAAATCACCTTTTACGTGATGAAATTTATTTCAATAAAACTGGTCAGAACTTTCTGTCCTATAAACAAGGTGCTTCATAATTGGGGATCATAAAAAAAAAAAACGATACTGAAGAATGCAAATATTCACAATTCAAAGACTTCTGACAACCACGGCCTGGTTTTACCCACAGATCTCTGTTTTCTCATCTATGAAAAGGACTATCCACCTTTTTTCTCTCCTCTAACCTTAATGTCAGGTTACTAAACACTTGGGGGGCTACCAATGATTTCAATAATGTATAAAAACAAATAATTTGAAAGAAAAAAATGGTTTTGATACACTATATTCTGCAGTACAGATTCTCATTATAGGCAATTATCTCTGACTTGTGCCAAATTCGTAGGAACAATGAACACACATGCACACGCAAACATACACTCTTCGCTCAGTTACACACATAAGACCCGAGCTTACTTGCACAAGCGCGTGAAACCAACAACATGTGGGGCGGTATGTAGATCACAGGCTCAGTGATACTGCAGTTCTGAAGGCCAAATTTATCTCCAGAGGATCAGCTCAAGATACGCTCTTCAGCATTTGTAACTCTGAAGTTAGTTGAAAACCCTTCTGCACTTGATTGTAAAACTTATGAATAGGTTTTTCGTGTGCCTTTAGTCATGCAAATGGTAAATACTTTACGGCTATGAAAACCAAAAATGTCAGAACTTGAGCACCTTTTCAAAACAAAATATTCACTCTAGCTTCATTTGCCACTTCAGTAATCGGGGCAGAATTGTTATAAGAAAATCTTTATATAATTCTCCAGGAAAATTAAAGGGTTTTTTTTTTTTTTGTCTCTTAACTTCCACTCTATAATTTATGTTCTACTTTTAAGCCCAAATTATTTCTCTTGGTTATTCAATTTTTTAAATGCCTGCGATAAAGCTCTGCTATAGAAAACTTGATTTCGAAAGCAGGTTAGCCGAGAATCACACCACAACCATAGCCCTTAAAGGCAAGAAGGAATTTGCTGCTTTAACGAACGTAAAAATGCAAGATATCTGTACTGTCTTGTGAGGTTTCTGCGAACGGGAACATGTGGATGCAACATGGCTTCGTTTTCCTTACATGATGGTACTAGTTAATCTACTAGAACACTTCTCGTTAGTAAGGCTACACAATCTCTTTCCGTCACAGTTGCTTCCTTCTTGTTCAGTAAAGTAATAAAGACCATCCCTGCTTAGTTAACAGAGGGTGGGTTTGGGGTTTTAATTCGGCTCAAACCCTTGTAAGAGTCTCCACTTTCTGGGCAAAGCAGGTGATGACACATTCTAACACTAGGCTGTATTTTTACACAACCTGTTGTGACTTTTGCTCTATCAAGGACTGATGTGTGAGTTAGTTCCGTGTCACAAATTAGGATAACATCTACAATTAAGCATCGATTTTGAAAAACAAATATGTCAGCTGAGCAAAGAATCTCTCCCTGTAATGCTGTTGGCAGGTCAGCTGTTGTTATCTTACTTGACGTGATACATTGGTTAGAAGCACTATCTCAGTTCCTGAAATTCAGTACTCTTGTAGGAAAATATTTCTCCTTAATTTTTTTTTTTAACAGAAGACAAAATATTTTAATTGTAAGTGGTCACAGGAATTCTTCTGGTTTCTTGCCCGTGATTATTTTTAACATATACCATAGTTGCTTCTGTCAACTCAGTGACAATGCAATGATAGCTTTCAAAGGAGAACACTCTGTAGATCGACTTGGCTATGCCTGAAGCTGCAGGTGCCTAGAGAAGACTGAGGACCACGGTGGAGACTGGAGTTACTGAACCCATATGTTACTCAGAGACATCAACTGACCATCACTGCTCCACTCTGAACAAGGACGGCTATTTCACTGGAGATTCACACCACACATCCTGCAAGCTCCACTGTTGAGCAGACGAGGTTGGTATCGCCTACGATTCAGGGCAGCTCCTGACCAGGACAGCCACGTGTGAATGCTACTGGATGTTACATGCAGAACAGCACGGGTCATCCTTGTCGGGCTGCGCGGCATAGTTCATCTGCCTCACAATTTCTGCAAAGAGTTCGTCCACCATTGTTTTACTCTTGGCAGATGTCTCCATGAAGGGGCAGCCCCACTCTTCTGCAAGGGCTCTGCCTTCACTGGAGGACACTTCTCTCTCACTTTCCAGATCTACTTTGTTCCCGACCAAGATGACTGGCAC